TGCCGCGGCGCCGGCCGTCCGGCCGCGCCCTCCCGTCCCGTCCCGGGCTGCGGCGAGCCGGGGGCTTTGTTCTGCGCCCGAGACAATGGGGGAGGGGGCCGGGCCTGCGGGACGAGGCCGAGCGAGCGCGAGGGGGCCGGGCCTGGGGGTCTTTGTGTGCGGTGTCGCCGAGTCGGGGTGTGCGGGTGAGGGTGCGGGCAGGGTGTGTGTGTGCTACTCGAAGTGTGCACGCATCGCCCGAGAGTGAGTCAGTGCGTGTCCCGCGAGGCTGTGGGTCCGTGTGTGTCTGTCTGGCGGTGTGTGCATGTGTGAGTGTGTGTGTCACTCCGCGCGGGTGCGTGTAGGGTCCGAAAGAGTGTGTGCCATGGTGAGGGAGTCCCTGATGTGTGCATGCGCGCACGCGTGTGTGTGTGTGTGTGTGTGTGTGTGTGTGTTGTGCTAGGTTCTCTGGAAGCCATGTGTCAGAATGTGGAGGATGGGTGTGTGACAGACAAACTGAGAGACAAAGAAACTGCGGGGGGAGAAGTAAAGAGAAGCAGAGGCGACACACGCCAAGCCTGAAGTGGACGTGGGTCACCCAAACTGACGTCCCCAGTGGGCGCTGATGCCACAGCCGCTGGGAGGTTGTGTCCAGGATTCCTAGATCAGAATCCTGTGCAGGGGACAGAGAGAGGTCACCCCACGCTTGGGTCCCACGTGGAGGGGGTGGGGAAAGAGAGGTCTAGAAGCACAATGAACTCAGTGTGGCATGGGCTGGGCTGGCAGCCACAAGGTCATAGGCCAGAAAAATATTGTCGCTTATGTCAACTCTTCAAATATCCACAGGGGACACAATCATATCCCTACTCAACCCACAGGGGACACAGTGCTAGGCAGCATCCACCCTTAAGCGTGCCTTTACAGCCCTCAGACACTGCCAAGAAGCACCGTGGAAACCAGCGCACACCCACTGTAGAGCCTATCAAGCCACATGCACCACTCTACGATGCTTTCAGGACAACACAAACCCACAGCAGAAATGTTGTAACCAACCCATTCCCACAGGATCTTGTCATGGCCAACACATAGCATAAGAGACCTTGGTACCGCCAGCCCTTTTGAGGAGACACTGTTGAGACTATCACAGCTAGCACATCATGTAGGTTCTATATATACTGTACTTCATCAGAGCTACTCATACAGAGCAGGTGTGGGAGAGGCTGGGCACTAACAAGAGGCTGTTGGAGTTGCCCTCACATAGCCACTTGTGCAACCACTAGGAGACACTCGTGGGAGAGCCGTCCCAACTGCTAAATAATCCCCTTGCCTCAGTATACTGTTCAGCCCACTACCCCTTCTCATCCACAAACCTCCTGAGCTCACCTCCTTGTTCCCTGAGCACTGAGAGTTAGATCAGTCATTCCCTTACCCTAGATTTGGCCATGGTTTTAAGTGTCCCTCCAAAACACGCATAGTTTCTTGACTTCTGTTGCTTCTGTTACCTTTTCCTTTTCTGCAAAGAGCACTCTGTAGAACTGTTTGATCTCTAGCCTGGTACGGTGGCCCACGCCTGTAATCCCAGCACTTAGGAGGCTGAGGCAAGAGGATTGTTGTGAGTTTGAGGCCGGCCTGGGCTACAAAGTGACCTCTAAACTTCTCAAGTCCTGCATTACTCCCTGCCCACAGTCCCCTTTATCATTTCAGCTTTCAGATGCCCTTGCTCCTATTAGGCTCTTTTAACTTTTTGTGGGGGTACCAGGAATTAAACTCTGGACCTCATGCTTGCCAGGCACCATTGAGGAGATGGTGCTTGCCACTCAGCACTGCCGAGTGAGCTAAACCCTTAGCCCCAGGCTCTTTAACTTTCAATGACGTGTTGACCTTGACCTCTGTTTTTTTCCTAATCTGCTCTGTCCTGGCTTTGTGCTTTCCTTCCAGCTCATGTGCCAAGGACCATTCCCTTTTCTCTGTGGCCATTCTGTCCTGCTTTCCTTGAATGCACCCATCTTGAAAATTCTCAACCTTAGCTAGAATGATTTCTCAGCCACACCAAGTGACACTTCTATAAATTGTTGCTTCTATAATTTCCCCCACCAGGACCTTCAATAAATAAATAAATAACATACCTGATTTTTTTCTATTTTTTTTCCCACCACTTGCCCTACATCCCTTATTGTTTTCAGTAGGTTAGTTAATCAATTCATTGGTTCATTTGTTCAACAAACACATACCAAGCACCTACTCTGCTGGATATCATGGTAATAAGAGCTGGCATTCTGAGAGTAAACATGGAGGGCATGGTTCTTGCCCTCCTGAGGTTTACAGGCTGTGGGGTAAGTGTTGTAGCAGCATACAGCAGAGAAACCTAGCCCAGTATTAGGAGGCTTCCTGGAGGAAGTAGCATGTAAGTGTAAACATGGCAGATAATAGGGAGTCAGCCAAGCAAAGGAGAGGTAGAGGTGAGATGGAATGGGTGGAGAACATTCCAAGCCAAGGCAGCAACACGTGGAAGCCCATGTGCAAGAAGATAGTGTGTGTGTAAGGGACAGAGCAGTTCAGTAAGTGTGGCGCTTATACCATGGACTGAGGACAGAAAGGAGCGTTCATAGAGGACGTAGACCATGGATCATGCAGGATTTTATAGGCCACAAGTAGTTCATTTAAACCATGAGTAATGGAGAGTCATCAAACCATTTGAAGCTTCGGAGTGATATAACCAGCTTTGTTTTAGGAATACCACTAACAGGCTTGTGGAGACGGGAGGAGGAGCCTGAGCAGGAAGAAGACCACGGGCTCCTGTAGGAACCCGGGAAGGGGGCGATGCTTGCCTGAACCAGAGGAGCGCCAGGAGAAAGGGAAAGTGGATGTAGGAGCTCTTTAAACAGTGTGTTCAACAGGGCTCCACGGCAGAATGGATGTGGGGGTTGGAAGAGAGGGAAGAATTAAAGCAGGAAACTTGTTCTTACTCACTGAAGAAACTGAGGGCATCTAGTTTCAATTCCCTCAGGATTCTGCCTCCTGCCTTAAATTTTACCTGCATCCTCTTTAATCTTTTTGCCTTCCTTTCCATATTAATGAATAGGTAGGTATCTTTTCCATTTAAAGCCAGTCCTACACCTGCACTGTGAATCCCATCCCCTCTCTCCTGTTCCGCGGGGACCTCACTTGACTGATTCAGAATCCATGTCTTCCCCATGTCTCCACTTTCACCCTCTCTTATTCCCCCCGAGACCATATCAGATCCTCCAGTCTCTCCTACCTCATTTAACCCTGCAACACCCTTTAGCTAAGAGGCTTCCCCACTTTACTTCACTGCCACATTTTGTGAAAGATTCTTCTGCATACAGCTGTTCCCACTTCACTTCCCATTTGCCCTTGCCCCTCCACTGTAACTGTTCTCCCTCAGGGTAAGTGACCTCTCTCCCACAAAATCCAGGGGATTTTTTTCAGAAGTCCTCAAATGCTTGATCTCTTGGCAGGAGCTGACATTGTTGAGCTTTTTCTTCTCTTTGAATTGTTCTTGCTTTGGCTTCTGAGTCACCATTTTATTCTGCTAGCATGTAATGAGCACCCATGTGTCGGCCACACTACTAGATGTTGAGAGCACAAAGGTGGAAATCACTGTTCCTATCCTCAAGGCGTTGACTCTTCAATGTGTGTGCGTGTGTGCGTGCATGCATGCGTGCGTGTGTGATGGAGAAGAGACTGGCAAATTAGCCGATGATTATAGTAAAAGTAGAATCTGTGAAGAGCTGCTCTGGCTGTTCTGTCTCACTCTGCTTTGAGGAGTTCTTTGCATGACCTCTGAAGTTCCTGTTCCTTAAGGTTCTAGCTTGGACCTTCTTATTATCTCACTGAAGATGCATCTTTGGGTGATCCACCCGATTCATTTCTAGGGCTTTAATTGTCATCTACGGACAGATGATCCCCAAATATATCTCTTCTGGAGTCTAGAGCTTTACACCTGCTGTATACTTGACCTTACTGAATACCTCATAGATCCCTTACTCTATGCAAACCTGAACTCTTCCCTTCAGTCCCAAATGTCTATCCTCACTCAGTATACAAGCTAGGAACCAGAAGAATTTAACTGTAACACACTGCCTTCTTTGCATGTCCCACAATCCAGAAGGTCCTTAGAGCCTGTTGACTGTACCTCCTCTCTAGCCATCTCTGGAGTCTCATCCCCTTTTATTCATCACCTCTGCTGTTGCTCTTACCTCACCAACTTTTCACATGAGATTTTTCAAGAGCCTTGTAACTCACCTTCCTGTAGTCTGGTCTTCTGTCTTCCAATCCATCCTTCTCATTGCAGCAAGAAAGACTTTCATAAAATGCAAATCTAACCATGGCACTGTCATGCTTCAGTGTTTTTTCATTTTCTTTGAATAAAATCCGTACTTTTTAATGAGGTTTATGAGAACGTAATCTGACTTCTGCCAACCTCCCCAGCCTTACTGCCTGTTTCCATTTCCCTACTTCCCTCGTATTTTGATCCCCACACACACTTACTTCCTTGTAGTTCCCCAAAGACATTGAGTTCTTTCACACTGCTGGTCCTTTGCACATATTTCTCCATGTGCCGGAAAGGCCCTTCATTCTCTTCT